TACTATTGTCGAATATGAGTCACTATAGTCACTTTTTTTCTTTAACTGACATGAAATTTGTAAAACATGAGCTCCAGGGATGACAAATCAAAGACAATTTACGACATCGCGATCAATGCTATCAGTCGACGACTCAATGTGTAACGCTACACCGCCGACTGATGGCGTTGACAGCGATGTTGGGTGTGTTCCGAAATGTGCTGACAGTACTGAAACCCTATAATGCACGTAACGTGTACCAAACATTTACAGTACTGGCAGCGAATTTCGGAACAGCTGTTGTAAACCATCTCTAATCTGGCATCTCTGCTGCCGACTGTTACCGATTGCATCCGATCTCAGCGATGCCACACGGTTATCTATTCAAATTGACGATCTTGGCCGATATGTGATTTTGCGTGCGGAGATACTCTCTATCGCATGAATATCTGGACATTATTTTGCATTGCAAATCGAATGCTGAGACGTCTTTAACTCTAGGTAAATAATATTCAGATATTTTGATGATTTTCCGGCAGAAATAAATTGATAAAAATCAAATTTGGCTAGAACTTTTATTATCCATTTTTATTTTGGTAATTATGCAGTTTAACCCCATCTTCTCAAAAATCAATGAAATTAGGTTTATTCGATGCCTTTTTCCATAAAACGAAATAATTTGGCAAAAATAAGCATCGCAGTTGTGTGACAGATTTCCTAATCTCAATAGTCAACTTTAACGCTTAATATCTCGGTTCGCGAGACAGAAAGATTCTCATATCTGCTAGATTCTTTAGTTTTATGCAAAAATGCGTCGAATAAGCATATTTTTATTGATTTTTGAGGTGATGAGATTAAACTGTATAATAATTTTTATTTTTAAAGTTATTTGTAGTATAATTTTAAAATGTTGAATTGATTTTTAATTTTGGAGTGAGAAAATATTTACTTCAATTTGTAATTTTGATTGTGAAATGATACCATCTTAAAATGATTTTTCATATAAAATGACTATGAAAACTCGGAAATCGATTTGTATCATTTTTTATTCTTTGCTCAGTCGTCTTTGAAATGATTTTTTTATTAACTTAACTGCTAGATAGTTTGTGTCATTTGAAGTTAGTTGCAAGTTAGCTAAGCTATATGACGATGATAATAAGTCAACGGTAATAATAAATGAGTGCGTGCGTTTAAGTTAATAATCGAATTTTTATTTTTCAATTTTATTTTCAACCTCGATTACTTATTTTCTAAATATTTTCTGATATTTTGAGTTGTGTTAAAAAAATTAATTTTTTGTCACTTTCATTGACAAATATTTTTCGTGTATTATGTTTTTCGTATCAAAAAACACTTGAAATGATTGTGAAATATGAAAGAAAGTTGTGAAGTGTTTTACTCTTTGCAGTGCAATGGGGAAAAATTGCAAGTTTTTGGATAGTTGGAGTGAAAAAGATGACGAGCAAGGATACAAAGTCCAGGAATGGGCGACAAAACCTCAATCTAGTGATCATGAGGCGTACTGTAAAGCTTGTATGTGCAATATCGATGTATTGCAGAAAGGATTCCAAGCTATTACTCAACATGCTTCGACAATCAGACATAAGAAAAATATGATAGCGCAGAAATTAGTTAGTCAGATGCGTTTCATTACCACATCAGTAATCAAAGAATCCTCATCAGCTGCCAGTATATCAAATGACAGCCCTTCATTCCTTCAGCTCTATAGTGTATGAGATCAAACAACTCGAGCAGAACTCATTTGGACTATGAAGAGCGTGATTTCAAATTTTAGTGCTTCTTCATGCTATGATTTGAAAGCTACATTCCAAGCAATGTTTGGCCAAAACAATGTGCTTCAAAGCTTCTCCCTCGGACGAACAAAGATTATGTATCTAATCACTGAAGCTTTAGCTCCATATTTCAGGAATAAATAGAGAAAAGAGATCGGAGATTCGTATTTTACGTTACTCCATGACGAAACTACTAATGCAGCTGGTAGAAAAGAGCTTCACATAGCTATTCGCTATTGGTGTGAGTCTATGAATAGTATTGTTACTCAACATTTAGAAACATTTTTTATAGGAAAATCCAGAGCTGACGATCTTGTAAAGAAGTTGAACGAAGTTATGTCTAATACCAATCTTCCTTCCTCCAATCTGTTAATGCTCGGTAGCGATGATCCTAACGTTAACAAAGCTGTTTTCAAGAAGATGGATCAGATACTTATCGAATCAAGAAGGAAGGGTTTGATTAATATTGGGACCTGCAATATACATACCACTCATAATGCTTTTCGCAAAAGTATGAAAAAACTTGGTGATAATGCATCCGATTTGTTATATTTTTTGCATGACTTTTTCAACGGTTGGCCTGGAAGATGGGAAGACTTTTGCGTTGTGTTAAAGAAGTACAATCTGCCTTTTTATCATTTTCTCAGACATGTCCCTCAACGTTGGCTTACTATAAAAGATGCTGGAAAAAGGGCACTTTTGTTATGGACAGCTACAAAGTATTATTTTTTGGAATATATTTAAAAAAAAAAGAAAGACAAAACTCTAATGGAATCTTTAGCTTATTGACGGATTGCAAATCTCCTCAAAAGATCAACTATGAAGGCAGAAGTTATATTTGTTGTTTTGTCTGCAAATATTTTTATTTCTATCACGAGCGTTTTCCAAAGAGAAGAGCCTCTGATACATTTACTTTACTCTGAATTGAAGAATTTAATCAAAATCCTTATCGGAATATCATGTAAGAATACTAATCTTGCTTACGATGAAATATTCAATGGGAATAATTTGCTACAGCCTGATAAGGTTGTCGTTGATAAGACTATACTTGACGAACTTGATCGTTGCGGTGATTCTGTTGCGAAAACTCAATTTCTCGAAAAAGCAAGAAATCATTACGTATCTGCCTGTCAATATATATTGGAAAAATCATCGCTCCAGTCAAAGAATAATATATTACGAAGTGTAAGGTGTTTGCAACCTTCTGGGTGGCACCCAGTTGGACACGGCTCAATTGGACACGAGCCACTCACAGCGCTTGAGACTACAAAGCTCTTAAGCACCGGTCGCTGTGATTGGTGGTGTCCAATCGAGACGTGGTCAATCGGGATCATCCCCATCCTTCTAAATGCCAGAAATCTTATTCCATTTCTGCGATTATAACAGCGGCAAAGGCATTACCGTTCGAAATACAAACCGATATTTTAATAGATGAATGGAAACTCTTACAAGAAGAAAAGTATCCTAAGACAGACATATCTAAGATTCGAATTGATGTATATTGGAGCTACTTTTTTGCTCTGGAAAATAATTTTGGCAATATAAAATATCCTGTTGTGTCAAAAGTCGTGAAGGCTCTCCTGAGTCTTTCACATGGAAACGCCGATGTAGAACGAGGATTTTCTACATCTGCTCTTATTCTTACAGATAATAGAGCTCCTATGTCCGAGAAAACGTTGAACTCATATATGATTGTCAAGTATGAAGATATACAACAATTTACCTCATAGTCCCTATCACTAAAAAGAACTTTTAAACTTGGCTAGAACAGCGCATCAAAAATATGACGAATACTTGTAAGAAAAAAGAAAAAAAGAAAAAAGAAAAACAAGAATATGAAACAAGAGTAAACGAAGAGATAAGGAAAGAAGAAGAGAAAAAAAGATTAGAGAGAGAGAGAGAGAGAGAAGAATTGAAATCAAATAAAAGAAATCTTAAAACAGAAGAAGAAGAGCTGACGGAGTTGCGTCAATTTGAAGATGCGAAAACTAAGCAGGCTGATAAACTATTGGAAGAGACTAGCCAGAGATTAAAAAAAGGAGTAGAAAAAGAGAATATGGAAGAAATAGCCCTCGCTGAAGCAATGTTAGTAGGTTACAAAGCTTCGCAATGAAGCGCAAGAAAAAAGAAAGCAAGTTAGAGACAAAGAAAAAGATGTAAATAAAAGGAAGAATAATGTTTTAGATTATTTTACTAAAAAATCAAAGAGCAATTAAATAATGAAATTTTATTATATTTAGATTTAATTAGATAACATCTGTGATTTTGTTTTTTTATATTTCCTTTCTATGTATTAGTCTTGTATTAATTCTCTATATTATCTATAGACTGCGGAACTTTATGCAAAATACTTAACTGAATGTTTTGCATAAAATGCATATTTTGCAATTTTGTAAATTTTGTACAGATGACAATCTCAATCTTTTTACTTCACCTTTTAATAACTCTTTAGCGAACAACGATTGACTGCTAAAACTGTCTGATAGTTAATATTCAGTTAAGTATTTTGCATAAAGTTCCTCAGTCTAATTATCTATTATATATGTAGATTTTATTATATACGTAGATATATAAGATTTTTTTATAAATGTGAAATTAAAAGGCTTTTGAAGACTACAATTATTTTTTTAGGAGCAGAAAAACAAGAATTAATGTTATTTTTTTCTTAAATGGCCTTACTCCAAAAAATTAATAAAAATAATTATTTTAATTATTGTTTTATTTTAATTTCTCAAGAGTCACTTTTTGTCACCTTTTCTGTAAAGAAATAGTTACTATTTCACTTTTTTCGGTCTGAGGAACGGATGGCAGCGCTGTGCTACGCGAGAGTTTTATTTGGAGACTACTGAACGTATAAACCTATTACTCGAAACCGATCACGGAGCCTCTCATCGTTCATCATCAGGTCACCACGACGCTCCTATTCAAGTCAGTTATCCATTTTACCATTCGGCAAGGTTGCCTCGTATTGATCTCCCCAAGTTCAATGGCACTCCCTTCGATTGGCTTTCCTTCAAGGATATTTTCCATTCTTTAGTGATTGCTAACCCTACGATCACGTCCGTAGAGAAACTTGAAAACCAGCTTAGTTGGCTCGGCCACATCCCTTTTGAAGAACATGGCTGTTACGGACGACAATTTCCAAAAGGCATGGGAAACGTTTATTTCCTTTTACGAAAACAAAAGACTGTTGGTTAATGCCGCCTTTCGTTATTCAATCTCAAGCGTATGACAAAGGAATCCGCCGCGGATCTGGAACGCTTGTATACTAGCGTTATGCAAATATATAGATCTCTGGAAACCTTGCGACGATCTATTGAAACATGGGACGATTTTCTTGTGTTCATAATAGTACAACGTCTCGATTCGGAGTCCGTAAAGGGGTGGGAGCAATTTCTCGGCTCAGATACCGAACTACCTACTTTGCTCAAGCTCACCCAATTTTTGGTATCCCGTCTTCGTTCTCTTCAAGCATTTGTGAAATCACGTGCTAGTAAATCGTCAATTCAACCACAACTAACCACCATCAAGGTTCATTATCAAGGAAAGTCTAAGGAAAAGGATGTCAGCCAAGGCCTCGGTTGCTCCCTTTGTTCGGACAAGCATCATCCTTCTAATTGCCCTCAGTACCGATCTAAATTGTTAAAGCAGAAACTGGAGCTTGTTGCAAAGCACAAATTGTGCTACAATTGCCTCGGGATTCATCGAGTCGTTGCTTGCCGAACAGTTAAACGTTGTTTGAAATGCGGCAGAAAACACCATACCTCCATCCACTCTGGATCTTCACAATCTACCAAGGTCAAGTCAGATAGCAACGAGCCAGCAAAAGCCGGCAAACAGAGCACCTGCTACTGTTACCTCCACCTCGGAAGCAGCTCAGGTTATGCACTCGATCCCAACCGTAACCGCTCTTACTCCTCAGGTATTATTGGCCACGGCTCAAGTCGAATCCTTTCTCCAAATGGCAATGTCATCACCGTGCGAGCTTTGATTGATCAAGGTTCGGAGGTCTCCTTAATAACTGAAAGAATAGTACAACGCTTGCGAATGACCCGAACACATTCGACTGTCCCATTAACTGGCATCGATGGGAAAGCTTCTAGTAGAACAAGAAGGATTGTTAGTTTTCATCTTCGTCCGAATTTCCAAGCCAACTTTGAATGTACTGTTACAGCGCACATATTAACGAACCTTACGTCCGATTCCATTAGCCCCAATAAATCAGACTTATGGCCGCATCTGGATGGCTTGCAATTTGCCGATCCTCAGTTTTCACGCCCTGGTGCTATTGATCTCATTCTAGGAGCAGACCTCTATGGATCCATCATCGCTGAAGATTTAGTTAGAGGATCACCAGATTCTCTGATCGCTCAACTTACCCATCTCGGATGGATTATTTCTGGCCCCACGAGCCACCCGGAACCTCCTACTGGAAGACGAATTGTACCCGCTACTACATAGATTTTAGGAATTGGAAGAAGTTCCGTCTTCAAGCGATAGTTCGTTATCTCAAGAAGAGCAAGAGTGCGTACAACACTTTCAGACGACCATTCAAGAGATTCACACGGACGTTATGCAGTTAATCTGCCTTTCAAGAAATCCACCGATCATTTAGGAGACTCGAAGAAGAAAGCCGTTCATCTCATCTATCGATTAAATCAACGATTTAAATCGAATCCTAACTATCCGAAATTGTACTCCGACTTTATCAAGGAATATGCAACGTTATAGTACATGGAGTTGGTACCTGACTCAACTCCTGAACCATCTGTCTCCTATCTCCCTCATCACGGGGTAATAAGAGAAGCTAGCCGCACCACCAAATTACGGGTTGTGTTTAACGGTTCAGTAAAACCACTTCGGGATCATCTTTTAACGATCTTTTGTACGTTGGTCCCAAATTGCAAACCAACCTATTCGACGTACTAGTATGGTTTCGGCAATTTTCTTATGTTTTTTCTTCGGACATCGAAAAGATGAATCGACAAATAAAGGTACATCATGGGGATTGGAAGTATCAACGTATCTTATGGATAAACGCCGGAAATTCTTTAGATACTTACCAGCTTACTACGGTTACTTATAGACTGGCCTGCGCTCCTTTCTTAGCTCTCAGCGTAGTTAATCAGTTGGTTAAGGATGAAGGTCACAGATTTCCTCTAGCTGTACCTGTGCTAAATCATGGCAGATATATGGATGATTTTTTTGGGGGAGCCGATTCCATCGACGAGGCACAAGTCATCATGTAACAAGTAAATCAGCTCTGCATGGCGGGCGGTTTTCGACTGCAGAAGTGGACTACGAACCATGTTGGAATTTTAGACAACCTGCCTGAAAGGGATCAGATCTCTTATGTCCTCCATACTCATTGAGGGAGATCTTACTATCCCCTCTCTCGGAGTTTCTTGGCAGCCACTTACCGACACTTTTAGATTCACCTGTCACCCAACCTTAAAAGAACCGGTTACCAAAAGGAGTGTTTCGTCCACCATAGCTAAACTATTCGATCCTCTGGGATTGCTTTTCCCGATTACCATCGGGGCAAAAATCCTTATGCAGGAAATTTGGACCTTACGATTAAACTGGGACGACCCTCTCCCATCAATTACTACCAAACGTTGGATCTCATTTATCAACGGATTAGAGGACTTATCTAAACTGAGTTTTCCAAGGTGGCTGGGTTTGAAATCAAACTAATCATTCGAAATCCACGGGTTTTCCGATGCTCCTCCTCAAGCTTACGCCGTAGTTGTTTACAGCCGAACAACTTCCGAAGATGGGGTGGTTCATACCCAGCTAATATGTTCCAAGGCCAAGGTAGTCTCATTAAAACGCATGACTGTTCCCCGTTTAGAACTCGCTGGGGCTACGTTACTTACCAAACTAGTGATGCATTTATTGAAGATCTTTGATCAGATCAACATCCCAGTTTATCTGTGGACGGATTCGACCGTCACGTATACCTGGATTTCTAATCACCCCTCTCGTTGGAAGAAATTTGTTCATAATCGAGTCTGTTTTATACAAGAGACCTTACCGCAAGCCCAATGGGGTATAGTATCTTGACGGGAAAATCCTGCTGATTTATCTACACGAGGATTTACGCCTATCCAGCTTTCCAAAGAACGATCCTGGTGGACTGGTCCTGATTGGTTATTAGAATCTTCGCCTTATTGGCCGCAACTGCCAACCACTATAGAAATGGGAGGTCCTCTTGAGGAACGGCCTCGTAAGGTATCAACGATTGGCGTCAAATCAACCGAATGCTGGGATCTCCTAAGATATTCTTCGCTTAAACGGCTGTTTCGAATCACTGCCCTTTGTCAACGAGCCATTCAACAGTTCCGAAAGGTTCCTAACTCCTCCTTAATGTGTCCTATTACTCCAAGTGAATTGCAAACAGCTAAGGTGTTTTGGGTGAAGATGGTTCAGAGATCGACCTTTTCTCAAGAACTTAAGCTACTTTCTGGCGGAAAATCATTGCCATCATCTCATCCCCTCGCTCGACTTACTCCTTTCCGAGATTCCGATGTTTTACGAGTTGGAGGACGCCTTCAGACCTCAGCCCTAAGTAGTGATTCTAAACATCCAGCCATTCTACCAAGACAATCACCACTTACAATCCTGGTCATCGCCGATGCGAGTGGCACCCAGTTGGACACGGCTCAATTGGACACGAGCCACTCACAGCGCTTGAGACTACAAAGCTCCTAAGCACCGGTCGCTGTGATTGGTGGTGTCCAATCGAGCCGTGATCAATCGGGATCACCCCGCCGATGCTCACTTAAAAACGTTGCATAGCGGCACCCAGCTCACCTTATGCACTATTCGTGAAGAGTTTTGGATTATCTAAGGGCGCGGTCCGATTCGAAGCTATATACTTAAATGTCTACAGTGCGTTCGTTTTTGTCGTGCCCGAGCACAACAACTGATCGGTCCGCTGCCTAAGGAACGAGTGACGTCGTCTCGTCCATTTTTGAACAATTAATTACGCCGGACCTCTTTCTATCAAGACTTGAAAGGGGAGGAATTTTCGAACTTATAAGGCTTACATTGTCCTTTTCGTATGTCTGTCTACTTCCGCAATTCATCTTGAATTGGTCACGGATTATACTGCGGAGGTTTACTTGGCGGCTTGTAAAAGGTTCACCGGACGCCGAGGAATCTGCTCTACACTTTGGAACGATTGTGGCACTAATTTCAAGGGGGCTGAGTTTGCCTTACAACGATTATTTACTGAAGCTCGATATCTTGCCAACTTATTAGCTTCCGATGGAACGCAGTGGAGATTCAATCCGCCTTCGGCTCCACATTTCGGGGGTAAGTGGGAGGCCGGAGGCAAGTCTGTGAAACACCACCTTCACCGAGGTGTTGGAAAATCACTATTAACCTACGAAGAAATGACGACCTTTCTCATTCAAATTGAAGCCATACTCAATTCTCGGCCTTTGAGTCCTTGTAGTGACGAGCCGGAAGATGTGAGCGCTCTGACTTCTAGCCACTTTCTCATGGGTTGCGCGCCCACACTCGTGCCTGAACCTTCATTAGAGGACGTACGACTTCCGCGACTATCAAGGTGGCAACCCCTCAGGCATATGATTGACTGTTTTTGGGCCAGGTGGTCTAGAGTGTTTGCAGCGGTATCAAGCTATCTCCAAGTGGAAGGATAAGAATCAGACGATCCGTGAGGGTTCCTTGGTTCTGGTAGTGGATGAAAGATATCCTGCTGTAAATGGCCACTCGGAAGAGTCCTTGCTACTCACCCAGGAGAGGACGGCTTAGTTCAAGTTGCAACTATTAAAACGCAATCGTCTATCTTCAAGAGACCTATTGTAAAGCTCTGTCCTCTACATAGGTAGAGGACCTATTCAAGGCGACACCTTGTAGTTTATTTCGTTAACTAGAGTTAACGAAGGCGGGCGGAATGTTGCGAGTTGGCAGTTTTGAATTAGAGCTTCCGCGCGCGCGGGATTCGCGCTCGCCCATGTCGCCACTACGATTGGCGCATGAGTAGCGCTGTAAGCGTTATGTATATAATCGAGGTGACATTTCAGTCGTCGGTAGGAAGACATGTTGCGCCCCTTCTCCCTACCTTCGTTTCCGCCGTGCTAGCGGCAACTGTTCAAGTTCTGATGGCCTCTCTCGAGCGCGTCAACGTAACAGCGGAACGTTGTTTTCGGTGTCATAGCTACCTATTTGGAAAGTTGCCTATTTTGGAAAGTTACACAGGAAAATTGCGACGGACAATTATCCGTAATTTACTAAGTTTAAGTTCGTTACCCGACGAGACTGGTTCCTCCTCGAGATCTTTGGACAAACGGCGTCTGTCGGCTTTGGATTATTTGGCTTGCCGGACAAACAGCATCTTGGGGACTTCCGGGTAACTCCTGTGGACGCCATTTTGGTACACTAGACTATACGTTTCCCTTGCAATTGACGCCGGCTTGGCCAGACATTAGTGTGCTCGATGAGAACGTATAAATTACTTAAGAACGATACAGTTTGAGTTTTCAATTTACCCAATTTACATATTATTTAACTTTCGCTATCGAACACAATATAATGATGGTATAATAGCATACAAAGGACCCCGCACTAATCCTATATGAAATTGGATTTCGGTTAAATCAAATGGTTTTCTCATATGTTATAGCTTATGACCTGCTGAACAAAACCTATAAGTTTTAGCGAAAAAAAATGAACAGTTTT